GTCGGGCAGGAGCGAGGGACCTGCAGCGGCTTCGGGGCCGGACCCGGCACTGCCGTCCTCCCTCCCGCTTCCACCGCCCGCGTTAAAGCTACAGCACTGCCCCGCGCGCGCCGTGGGCGTGGGAGGTCACAGGTTAATTGCAAGCAGATGATTAACCTCCATCCCGCCAGCGAGCGGAGGGAAGAGCTCGGTACTTCCCAGCTACAGACAAAATGCTCTGCGGCGATGGGAAAAGCGCGGCGCAAAAGTTACCGGAGCCCGTAAGGACGCTCCACAAACCCGCCCGAGGGAGGGTGAGCGAGGGGACGCTGCCTGCGGGCCCAGCGAGGAGGGAAGCGCGGTGGCCAGCCACGCTCCCACCGCTGAGAGAGCAGCACGGTCGCGCCAGCCAGCCCAGCTCCGCGTCAGGGCTGCGGCTTCGCAGGGGTCTCATGGAGAGGGGCTGCTTTCTTTAGAAGAGAGCGGTAGGTCTCCAGCCGTGCGAACGTGCCCTTTCTTCTTGTCTTTCTGGCAGTGGCTTGTGGTAGAAACTCAGGCTGGGATTAAGGCAAAGCGTCTCCGCAGCTCGGGCGGTGGGGTACATGAGTGTTTCGATGGCGCAGCTGTACCTAAGAGCTCCAGCTGAGCGAGCTCACCTCCGCCTGGAGCCGGGTCCCCACAAGGGACCCTGTCCTCTCCACTCACTCTGTGCTGCTGTGGGACTAATTCAGCTCCTGATGCACTAGTAGAAAAATCTGGTTTTCAGCATTAGACAGAACAAAATATACATTTATTTTCTGGCTGTTGATATTGTTAAGATATAAAGAGATTAAGAGCTGGGTGGTGCCAAATTTCATATTAAAAATGAAAAATTGTTCACATTTTAGTCACGAGTCACCACCAGGTTCTTCTCCTGCCAGGCACAGGAGCCTAACTGTACCTCTAATGCAATGCCAGCACCTGTTGTACACTACAATTACACATTAAGTCACTTTGCTTGAATTGTGTTTGTTTTTCTCAGATAAAAGAAGGTCATAGCGCTGTATTAACTCTGAAACACTGCAGGTGAGGAGCTACCTGCCGGACAGAGCTGGGATGGGGAAAGGGTAACTTTTGACTTCCTCAGTGCAAGGAGGGGGGGGGGGGGGGGGGTGGTGTTTCCAGCCCATGTATCCCTCATCGTGGGAACGGCCCCTCGCAGATGTTCACACATGGGGAAGGTTGCAATAGCTGGCCACCACCCCGATGTGGACGTCTGAACCTCTGTTTGCTCCTTACAAAGCTCCCAATTGCATGTCCAGTGTGTCTAGTTGCCTCTTACCAAACAGCGGGCTGACACAAGCTCAGCAAGACAGCCTTCAGCCTCCCTTGCCCCAAACACTTATTTACACCTGTGCAAAACCCCCTCGCATCGTGGCCTGCCTTTTGCATGGCTTTGTACTGTCTGCCGGCGCCTGTGAGCAAGAGCAGCTGTCTGCGGGTCACCACTCCCGGGACATGGACGGAGAGGTGCTGTCCCTGCCCTTCTGCCACGGGGCTTCCAGCTTAAGAAAGAAGATGCTGTGCCAGGGGAAGGGGTGCTGGGATTTTCGGTAGGAGGGAGTCGTTCAAGGCAGAGGGGGAGGGGGAGGCTGCGGTCGAGCAGGGCTGCTCCGGCTCTTCAGCTGGTGATGCCTGTGTTCCCCTTCCCAGTCAAATTCCTCACACTTCCTCCCTGCCAGTGGACTAAATGCACTCCTCATGGATATCTCCCTCTCTACGACTTTCCCAGCCACTCATTTTCTTCCTTTTTTTTTCACGTGCCCCTTTCTCCATCCCCCATCTCGGAGCCCCGCACTTGGGACATACCCTCACACCAGAGTTACACCTGAGCCAAGGACTCGGGGCATTTCTAACCTCTAGCCCAGGGATCTTTAGAGCAAGGTAGTGACTGAACCAGTCCCTTCAGGGTTTTATCCCTTTTCACATAGCATTTACTTTTGGAGCCTTGCATTGCTACCTATTATCATCTTGACAACTTTAATTCTGTCTGTGTTTTGACTTTTCTTACCTTGCCTGGCTTTAGTTCATGTATTTTCTCACAGTGCAGCAGCAGTTTTCTCAGCAAAACCAACCCAGGGTCACACAGCTGTGCTGCACCTCAGGTCAGAGACAACTGAGCCCTGGGGCCATCCATACAACCCCGCGCCCGGGAGAAGGACAGATGGACTCGTAGCAGTGGGCAGGTGTCCCCAGTCTGCTGGGACGATGCCAGGTCCCAGGCCCAGCCCCTGGAGCAGACATGGCCCAGGAGAGCTGGGCAGTACCGGCGTGCTCTAGCCTGAACTTCGAAGGAAAGCACCCAAATCCCGCAGCGCAAGAGGAAAGCTGTAAGGCTGCGTGACCTGGGCAGCAGGGCTGTGTTTTGCTGGCGTCCCAGCCTGTGCAAGGCTGCTGCTGCCCTGCCTGCCGGGGACGAGGCTGCAGCTGTGCGCCGGGCCAGC